TCTCTTTCTCTTTCTCTTTCTCTCTCCAATAATATGAATGATGCTTTTGGCTAACAAGGAATTGATGTGTTGCAGATTCCTTTCCCTTTTTCCGTCCTCATTTATTTATTTCTTTTTTCTCATTTTCCCAAACAAGGAATTGATTGAGAATTTTTTCCTGAAGGAAACAAAGAAAATTGTTGTTTTGAGTCAATGGCTCACCAGCTTATGGCTTTTGGGTATTACTACAGACTCTCGGTTTTGTAACGTTTGGAAGAAGAAAAAAGGGAAAAGATCATGTTTTTATTTATTATTTTGATTTGTTTGTGTTATTTCTTGTTGTGATGGTGTAAATGTTGGGTTAACGATGTTACTTTTTTGGTTAGTGCATTTACTTTTGTGTTCCTAATATATAATTATTACCATATTATGATTATATAATATATATATATATATAGTGTAACTGTGAGTCCGATATGTAAGCAGAATAGCGACAGGTGTTAGGCCAACATGAGCTATTAGCTCAAGTGGCAGAGCCGCAAATGGCATAGACATATAATCGGTGAAAAAAGGTAGAAAAATCTAAGCTAGGTTTGAGTCTTTGTGGAGTAAAATAAGAAAAGAAAACAAGTGACCACAGGTGTTTGATAATATTTTACTTTTCGTTTTTCTTGTATATATGTGATTAGGGTTTGGTGGCAATATTGCATTTAGCTTTCGTGTGTTCCAGTTTGAAATGTGTCTAACGGCAGTGCTTTTTTTTAAATTTTTTAAATTTTTATTGGTTTCTGTTGCAGATATTTGACAGTGATTGTAGGAAGGGCGTAGGAGAAATTCGGGTACCAATTCGCTAATCAAGATGAAGAGGAAGAGACATCTGTACCGATCTACCCATCCATTTGATGCTTATCGTAAGAATTTGCCTCCTCCCTTTTATGTTCTCTTAGTTTTCATTTTCTTTTCAAAATGAACTGTGTAATTTATTTCAAGTAAATGGCTTCTCTGTTCAAAGTCTTGCTTTCTTGTAACACTTGTAAACTTGAATCCACAAGTTGGAGTTAACTTTTTAGTGCGGCGGTAACACCACGTGCCATGTAGACGTGGTAACACCACTTTTTAGTGCAAGCGCGACCCGTCCCAAGCATTCGTCTTTCATTAATTGGTAGCAAATATAGTAATTTTTCATTCTTGAACTCCTTGTTTATATACATTGTTGAAATGCTGCTGCCACTTTTAGTGCTATTATTTTACTAACGGAGAAAAGGGATTGTTTTAATTCCTGTCTTGCACAGAAGCTCAATAGAATTTTATTTGTTGTTGTTATCAAATGGCTAATATTTTTCGTTTTCACTCATTAAATTCTTATCAATATCATTCTACTAACTTTTGGCTTGACAGCTTTTGAGGCTCTTTGCTGCGGATCATGGCATCCTGTGGAGCTTCTAGGCATCAGGAGTGGAACCATGACGATAAATTTCGCAGACAATCATTCATGTGTCATTCAAAATAAAGGCCCATTCCCAAACATTCGAGTGAGGTCAAGACAGGCAAATTCATATGACTGCACCTGCTTTTTGCGGCCTGGTGTTGATGTATGCGTGCTATCAACTCCTGAAAATACAGAAAACTCAGAAGAGAAAATTCGAGCTCCGGTGAGTGGCATTCTATAATTAGGCATTGTCACTTGGTATTTATGACTTTCTATAACTCTTACATGGCATATTTTCAAGTGTTGATGCACATGTTTGATAATTTTAATATTTTTATTGCAGCTCTTTGTGATAATCCATTTCTGAAAGCATGATGCATGTCTCTATAGATAAAGTCACATGTTTTGTAAAACACAATACATTTCTTTTCCTGAGTGAGAGATCTAGAGATACACCAACTGTCTGATCTTTCTTAAAAGTCCTCTGTTATCAGTTTGCTTTGGCAGTCTTGAGACAAATTTTGCATTTCTTGGTTATATTCAATGTTTCTTGCACTTATAGAACAGATATCAATTTGTCCTTGGTCTGCTAACAGCTTCCAGCACTAGATCATTACAAATTGCTCTTTTATGTATGCGTATACTCTCGAATGACATTGAGATATGAAGAATTAACCCAATAACTAAAAATAAAAATAAAATTTGAGGCAGCATTCCTCATAAGTCTGTTTACCATCAGAATCTTGGGCTATGCAACCACCTAATTCGTCGATATGAAAACTAGAGATATCTCCTCTGCATTTTATGATTTAAAATCGATTTTTCTATTCGTTGGCTAATCACTTTTGTTTTCTAAATTTTTCTTTCGATTCACATATCTTGCATTAGATAGCTTCACTTTGGTTAGTTTTTTTCTTTTTTCAAATTTGTTTAGCTTCACATCTTGGGTTGTTTAGGTATAAATGCCTGAAACTGAAAACATTAGTTTACGTTGGAAGTTGTGATTGCCTTATTGTTAGTTTGACCAACAGATTCTCTTTCTAATATAGGTGATGGTTGATGCTCGAATCAATTCAATCAAGAGGGTGCCTCATGAGTCCCATTGCTCATGTCGCTTTTACGTTAACTTTTATGTGAACCAAGGCCCTCTTGGTTCAGAAAGAGCAACCCTTAACAAGGATGCTAAACGTGTTGGAATCCATGACATTTTCGTCTTCCAAACACTTGATCGTGATTCTTGTGCAAATGAGCACTACCGATGGGAGTTCTCTGCAGACTGCCCGACGCTGCCCAGAACGAAATTGCTGTTGGGGAAATTTTTATCAGACATTTCATGGTTGCTTGTGACATCAATGCTGAAGCAGGTTTCATTTGATGTAAGATCAGTACAAAGAAAAGTGGTGTACCAAATTGTGGGAGGTGATGATGACAGCACTCTGTCAAAGTCTGACAATTATTTACATGCTGTCAACTTCAGAGTAGACGACGGGCTCCTGGTACCAATAGTAGTTGAATTTGTACCAGCTGATGCTACTGGGAATGATCCTACTGAAGGTGGACCATCATCTTCTTCTGATCTTTTGGGCCTGCGACGTTCCAAGCGTCAAAATGTTCGACCTGAGCGTTTCCTTGGGTGTGATGCTCCAGCAGAGATAGAGATTGGATATATTCGTAGCAGACCATATAAAGTAGATCACTCAGATGATGATGAAATGAATATACCACTATCACAGTTGTTTGGAAAACATGCGAGACGTTCAGAAGAGCATACTGAGGCAGAACAAAAGGTTCATTATAAGAAATTAAAGTCCAGCGAGGATCTCCATGCATCCAAAAGTGAGGATGATCATGCAAGCGAAAGTGAGGATTCCCTTGAATGCAAAAGCAAGACTAAGTCGAGGAAGGTGAAATCAGATGTTGCTAAAAGGAAGAAACATCAAGCTCAACTTGCAATTGTTCCTCTGCCTGACAAAAGGGATCCTTTCGCCCTTGGACGCGGTCATCTAAATGCCAATAGTCCTGAAAAGAGTACAAAAGAGAGTGAAGAATTTCCTGCGAAGTATTATTATCATTACAGTTCTAAAGCAAAGAGAAAGAAGAATTCTGACTTAGATGATATGGACTTTCAAATGAAATGGGATGGAAAAGTATCCACTAGCAGAGCTAGCAGAGTTTATAACAACAGGCATAACTCCATACGCTCGAAAAGGGAGGGTCTCAGTGGAAGAACTTACCCAAAGAGGAGCTTAAGTGCAGGTGCATACAAGGAACTGATAAATACGTTTTTGAAAGACATGGATTGCTCAAATAAGCAAGAGCCAAATATTATGGACCAGTGGAAAGAATTTAAGGCTGGAAAGAACCCTGAGCAACAGAACGAAACTGAAATGCCCGAAGATGAGGATGAGGAGGAAATGTCCGAGACTGAAATGCTGTGGAAAGAAATGGAATTAGCATTGGCATCAGCTTACCTTCTTGATGGTGATGAGGTAAAATTTGATATATTTCACTGGCATCTTATTTTTTATTTATGACTCAATGGGGGATTCTCTCTCTCTCTCTCTCTCTCTCTGTGACCCTGTGTATGTGGGTGTGTTTGTTTGAAAATCATAGATTAAAACTTCAGAATATAATCTGGAAACTCTGCTAAATAATGCAATAACTCTTTCTAGCAAATAATTAAGTTCTGGTTTACCTTCAATTTCTATTTGATATGCCTTGCTTCATCTGATTTGGTAAAATGGTTTTCAGGGATCACAAGGGAGCACGTCAGGTGGGACTGCACAAAAGTCTGGTGCAGGTTGCCGGCATGAATTTAGATTGAATGAAGAAATTGGGATGGTGTGCCTCATATGTGGTTTTGTCAGCATCGAAATAGGAGATGTTTCAGCCCCCTTTGTAAGTCAATGTCGAAACTTATTTATGGATGAACTTTATGTCACATTCCTTGTGCTGCTATGAATTTGCATGGGAGAATGAACTTTCTATTCTGCAATATCATTTTCACTCATTCAATTAGGTTGATCTGTTACCATAATCTCCTGTCAAGAATGTAGGGTTCCAATTCCTTTGCGTATATATTTTTTAAAAGATGCTGGTGTAGGATCTGATAGTGTTGCTTCAAAAGATATCTAATGGTTTGTTTATTTCTCTAGGTGCAAAACACAGGGTGGGCCGCAGATGATAGAAAGATCAATGAAGAACAAACAGACGATAAGCGAGCTGAATATGAGGAATTCAATTTCTTCCACACTCGTACTTCCCCTGATGAGCCTGAGCCTTTATCAGAAGAAAATGACAACGTTTGGGCCTTAATTCCTGAACTTAGAAGGAAATTGTTATTCCACCAGAAGAAGGCTTTTGAGTTTCTGTGGAAAAACGTTGCAGGATCTTTGGAACCAGCACTTATGGAACAAAAGGCCAAGAAAATAGGTGGCTGTGTTATATCTCATTCTCCTGGAGCTGGAAAAACTTTTCTGATCATTGCATTTCTTGTTAGCTACCTCAAGTTATTCCCAGGAAAACGGCCTCTGGTCCTTGCTCCAAAAACAACACTCTATACGTGGTACAAAGAATTTATTAAATGGAAAATTCCTATACCAGTGTATCTAATTCACGGCCGTAGAACCTACAGAGTGTTCAAGAAGAAAACAGTGACCTTTACTGGAGGCCCGAAGCCGACGGATGATGTGTTGCATGTTTTGGATTGCCTAGAAAAAATACAGAAGTGGCATGCACAGCCAAGTGTTCTTGTCATGGGTTATACTTCATTCCTAACATTGATGCGTGAAGACTCAAAATTTGTGCACAGAAAGTTCATGGCTCAAGTGCTGCGGGAGAGTCCCGGGATCGTAGTACTAGATGAAGGGCACAACCCCAGAAGTACTAAATCAAGGTTGAGGAAGGGATTGATGAAAGTTGAAACGGACTTGAGAATATTGCTTTCAGGTACTCTGTTTCAGAACAACTTCTGTGAATACTTCAACACCCTTTGTTTGGCAAGACCAAAGTTTGTGAATGAAGTTTTAAGGGCATTGGACCCAAAATACAGAAGGAAAAAGAAAGGTAAGGAAAAAGCACGCCATTTGATGGAAGCCAGAGCACGAAAGTTGTTCTTGGACCAGATTGCCAAGAAGATTGATTCGAACGAAGGTGAAGATCAAAGGATCCAAGGTCTAAACATGCTGAGAAATATAACAAATGGATTCATAGATGTGTATGAAGGTGGAAATTCAGACACCCTTCCTGGTCTGCAGATTTACACCTTGTTGATGAACACTACTGACATACAGCAAGAGATTTTGGACAAACTGCAAGACATAATGTCCAAATACCATGGCTACCCTCTGGAGCTAGAACTTTTGATTACCCTTGGATCAATACATCCTTGGCTAATCAAAACTGCAGCTTGTGCTGATAAGTTTTTTACTACTGAGCAACTAGAGGATCTTGAGCAGTACAAGCATGATTTGCACAAAGGGTCCAAGGTCAAGTTTGTTTTGAGCCTTATTTACAGGGTTGTCAGGAAGGAGAAGGTTTTGATTTTCTGTCACAACATTGCACCTGTGAGACTGTTTCTAGAACTGTTTGAAATGGTGTTTGGGTGGCAGAGAGGCAGAGAAGTCTTGGTTCTCACAGGGGATTTGGAGCTGTTTGAGCGCGGAAAGGTGATGGACAAGTTTGAAGAGCCTGGTGGAGCCTCAAGGGTCCTGCTTGCATCAATCACAGCTTGTGCTGAGGGAATTAGTTTGACAGCAGCTTCTCGGGTCATCTTGCTGGACTCCGAATGGAACCCTTCGAAGACGAAGCAGGCCATTGCACGAGCCTTCCGCCCCGGTCAGCAGAAGGTGGTGTATGTTTACCAGCTCTTGGCAACTGGAACTCTCGAAGAAGACAAGTATGGGAGGACAACTTGGAAGGAGTGGGTGTCAAGCATGATTTTCAGTGAGGCGTTCGTGGAGGACCCGTCCCGCTGGCAAGCAGAAAAGATTGAAGATGATATATTGAGGGAGATGGTGGCAGAGGACAAGTCTAAATCATTCCATATGATCATGAAGAATGAAAAGGCTTCAACTGTGGTCAGAGGTAAGGACTAAATTAAGCCATGTGTGATTTAATCTAGCTTGCAGCAATATTGGGCTTTCTTTCTTCTCTCAAGTATATTGAATTTTGCCAAGCGAGAAGAGGGAAAATGAGAACCTCCCATTTGAACTTGAATTGTGTAACGGCTAAGTTGTATTTTATTATCATGAATGGCTGTTATACTTTATGATCTCATAGCCAGATCAAATAGTTTGTGTTTAAAAGAGAAAAACAAAAAAAAACAAAAAATGTAAATTTACTAGGGTTACCTCGAGATCATATGTTAGATTAGAATCTTTCCTCCCCAATATCGATTGTATCAACAACAAAAAATGACAGGCCCAAAAAGGAAAACCAGGCCCAAACCAAACAAGTCGGAGGCCCGAGCCGAAAGCAAACATACAAAGAAAGGCAAAGGCGTGTCATAACAAGAGATTAAAAGCCAAAAACTAAGGACCAGTTTGGTATTGTTGTGCTGTGAAAATAATCGCTGTCAAATTTGCTGTGAGAGAAATCAGTTGTGAGATAAAGCAGTTTGGCTTTTGGTAAACTTTTGGTTAAAAATGTTGTTGGTATTGATTCCCGCATATTCATTAAACTCAGCACCTCTTCGAAATTGATTCTCGCATAATCTGAAAATGAAAGCACCTCATTAGTTGCTTTCCCTTATAGCTTTATCTCACAATAATTTTTAATAATAAGTGATTTTCTCATAGTTTACCAAACGGGTTGGGCTTCCAAAAATTTAAAAAAAATCACTTACCCCAAATAAGCAATGCAAAATGGACACTAAGAGAGTAAAATAGTAGCAGCCAATTGATGTCTCATCCTAGTGATTGAATTCTTCAAAGCCGTGCTAAAAATCAAAGGCAGGCATTAACAAAGTGAGAGAATAGTACGCCATACATACTAGTAACCATGTGGATGGGAGTGGGTTTCAAGTTCAACTTTAAAAAACGATCAAGTTGGGGGAAGGGGGGGGAATTAAAAAAAAAAAAAAAAAAAAGGAAAAAAAAAGAGAAAGGACAAAGGAGGAAAGTTCATAGAGATGGAATCACGCCTAAAGTTGTGAAGTAAATTAAACAGTGAAAACCGCAGAATAAATAAATAAATAAAGTTGATGATGGTAATAAAATAGAAACTAGTTGGTGTGCATATGCCACGGAATTACTGAACTAGCCTCCAAAATTAAAACCTAAAATAGTTCCTTTGGGCCAGCAGTTTCCAACAAAACCATTTGAGTGATCATATTATTAAGTAATCTAAATTTTGGAGAATAATCTAGAAATTATGAAAAGTTGTTGGTAGATAATGCTGCCGAGTTGATTAATTTGATGAACTTTTGTGGCGGTCAATACGGATGTCGACTAGTGGATATATCGAAAGCAAAGAAACCTAATCTGTTTTCTTTTGTGGAGCTCCCAAAAGTTGAAAGTTAGAAATAACTTCGAGGAAGGTGATGAAGTATTGCTTACACAAAGTATGTAGGCAATATGCGCAATGGCGATGATAAGTCAAAAAGCTTGCACAAGTACTTTTATGATAATCCGACAACAGCTGCTAGATAAAGGATCTACTTGCATATAAAATTTAGCTGGAAATTTGTTTGAAATTCAATTAGTTTTCTTTTCTTCTCTCTCTCTCTCTCTCTCTCTCTCTCTCTCTCTCTCTCTCTCGCATAAAGTGAGTGGGAAACATGATATGTGAGACTCTCACTTACATGAGAGAATTGAAGAAAACGTTTAAAAGCAAAACAACAAAAGAAAAAAAAAAGTTGAGTTCTATTCTATGACATCTTTCAATCTCCAAAACTCGAGTAATTGTTGCATGTTCCAAGTATACGACAACAACAAAAAAAAGTTGAGTTATGTGACATCTTTCAATCTCCCAAACCCTACTCAAAACATGCACATAATTATTTACTAATCCCCAAAAGAATTTGATTTTGAGGTAGGGTACCCAAATTATAAGATATTATTACACTAATGGAGGTAATTTAAAAGAACGGTCTGATAGGATATTGAGAAGATAATTATCTCCTTACTTTTCTTTATGTAGAGTGGCAGAAAAACTTATATACAGATAGAATAACATGATTTTACTATTCTCGACCAATCACGCTATGTCAAGTGTTTCTCGTAGAGTGGGTGTAAAAAAGAATCTCTCTTATAACAAAGAGGCAAGGTAAGTCAAGTAAGCATTATGGTGCTGTAAGTTTGCACCAATAAAAGACAATTGCAATGATTGACTTTTGCAGAGGAATATTATCTCTCCGGCCTTTACCTAGCTATTTCTTGTAAGAAGGTTTCTAAGTTTGACTCCTAATTAAATAAATAGTAGAACTCACAATGCATGACTCAGGAAAATATATAGCTGGGATAAAGGGAAGGATACCTTTATTTTTTTTTCTTCTCACGTTGATGATCAAGTACTTCCACAAATCACGCCTCTTCTAATATCGTTTGTATTATAAAAAAAATACATTAATTTACATGCTTAGCGTAAGTATTGTTTATCCGAATTTTTTACTCTTGTCCTTGTAATCTTTTTTATTTATTTATAATTTACACTTTAGTATGCGTAAACTACGGGGACAATTAAATAATTAATTATGAGAAAATAGGGATTAAGAAAAGAAGGCAGTTTATGGGTAATTGGATGACCGGGTAAAGTTAAATCGAAAAGTACCAAGGTTTGAAAAAACAGAATCAACATGCGAATAAAAAAAACGTTTAAAAGAAATATATAAAAACAAGTGGGCAAAGGTGTAGTTGGAAAAAAAGAAAGGGATAATTAAAGGGCTTAACAAAGTCCAAAGAAGAACTGCAAGTTGAGGATCCACTTGCGAGTCCGGCGTAAGCTGTTTGTTTTCAACATCATCACCCCCAACCCCCAATACCATTCCTCTCTCTCTCTCTCTCTCTCTCTCATCTTTCTCTCTTTGTCCGAGGAAACAGCAAAACTAATACAAGTGGATCTCATCACACCAGCTTAAATATTGTAACCCTAATCACTCTCTCTCTCTCTCTCTCTCTCTCTCTCTCTCTCTCTTTATGTCCATGGCTTTGATATATATGACGATGTTGTTATGAAGGCCAGCCCTAAACCTTGTTGTCTACATTCAAAGATAGAGAAAGAGAGATCACCAAAGGAAATGCCTTCCTCACTGCAATTCCAAAGACCCATCAATAACTCTCCTAATTTTTATCCCACAAACACATTTATCCAACACAAGCAATTCCAATCCCACGCCGCGGCCGCAGCTACAGCGGAGGACTTCACGCGCCTCCACGCTCACGTGATGTCGCCCAACCCCAACCAGTGCTGCTCCGCGGTCGTGCAGTCCATCGAGGCCCCCGTCCCGACCGTGTGGTCGGTCGTGCGGCGCTTCGACAACCCACAGGCCTACAAGCACTTCCTCAAGAGCTGCCAGGTCATCGACGGGACGGGCGACGTGGGCACACTCCGTGAGGTCCACGTGGTGTCGGGCCTCCCCGCTGGGTCCAGCACGGAGCGCCTCGAGATCCTCGACGATGAGCGGCACGTCCTGAGCTTCAGTGTCGTGGGTGGGGACCACCGGCTCGAATCCGTCACCACGCTCCACGACTCGCCGAGTGGACTCGGGACCGTCGTGGTGGAGTCGTACGTGGTGGACGTTCCGCCGGGAAACACCAAGGAGGAGACGTGCGTGTTCGTCGACACCATCGTGCGCTGCAACTTGCAGTCGCTGGCTCAGATCGCGGAGAGCATGGCCAAACCATCCACCAAGAGTAACAACAACAAACCCTCATGAAATATTATTATTTCATAATCAAAATGAGTTCATGATTCTTTTTTTTTTTTTTCCGTTTTCTTTCTTTTTGTGGAGACTATTTGTAGATTCGATAGGTTTTCTGAGGCTCTATCTCAGCAGCTGGTTGAAATGGTCAAAGGTTGTCCGTACGTATGATGTTGTGTATAATTAAAACCCTGTGTTTCCTTTACCATGTATCCCCTTCTGAAGATTATCGCTCTCTCTCTCTCGATATATATATACAAATTATGTTTAATTTCATGATTTGTTTGTTCATCTTATTAATTTCTCTCTTGCTCAATTGTTAATTTCTTCGACGTTAATGTGGAATTTGTGTGCAATCCTAGATTGCATGATCAGGTTTTTTCTTCAGCTCCTCTCAAATTAATGGAAACAACTGGCTAATCCCGGATATAATTAAACCCTAATTAAATTAATCAATTAATAATATGCATGGTTTGTGAGTTGCATGATCTTACCTATATGCATGTAACAAATTTCACTTGTGATTCTTTCTTGCCGTACGCTTAGTATACTAATGATATATAGGTACTAATTATCAATGTACTTTAATATAATTTAAAGAAAGTTGGCTAAGAAATCGAGTTAATGCTTTTTCTTTTCTTTTTTTCTCATTGTCAATGCCAATGAGATAGATCAAAAACTGCTGTAAAGTGTCAAGATTCGCAACATCGCGCTTACACCGATGTGCTACAGAGTGTTACCACGCGTGAATGAATCAATGTAGCTTCAAATTCATGTATGGGCGGCCATGGATGGCTACATTGGCCCAGTTGATATTGAATATAAAAAAAGGAAAAAGAAAAACATTTTTACAGTTTTAATTTATTGATTCAAATTAATTAAATAGAATGAGTCTCTTGCTCCCCTCCTGTTTCGCCTCTCACTTCTAATGACACTCTTTTTTCAATACAAGTGATATTGAGGAGGGCGGTCTTATCACATTGCCGACCTAAAAAAATAGACATGCATCAATTATCAAATAAGATGATCAGAGCTACAGATAGGCTATACATAGTTAGATTATGATAAATATTATTTTGTGTCCTTTGTATTTGCTTTACATGTCTTGTTATAGCCTGGGGATACAGTTGGCATTTCTTGTCTACTGCAGTTTTCTTCGAAATTTCAAAAAAGAAATAAAAAAAGAATTATAAAATAGCAGTCTTGGAATTATTATTATTTTTGCATAGAAGAGAATGCACGGAGGAGGCGGTATTATATTGGCAATTGGCGAAGTTGAAGAATCAATCAACAGCTGCGTTTGCAACTTGACTTTAAAACGAGGCAACTTGGTTGGAGAAACCAAATGCAAGTTGCAAATTACCAAACAAAATCAAAGAGAAACTTTAAAAAGTTTAATGCAAGTTGCAAGGTTTTGCCTGCTATTATTATATTTATATGTTTATGTTGTGTGTTGGAAGGGACGACAGTCTTTTAGGATTTGCAAGTTGCTTAGGCAAGTGGGCAAGGAAGGCAATTTAATGTTCCCCTCTTGTTTACAAGAGAATGAAATCAAAGCCACCCATTTTGCCTCCCCAGTGTGTATGCGTCTGTGTGTGTGCGCGCCCATGACTGATTTGACTAGACCAACCCAAACTTAATTCTTTGCTGAAATTTTCTTGAAACCTCCGTCTGAATTTAAGGTCCAAAGGGCACCATTAGTTTGTACCAAAGATCCTTTAATTAAATTTCCTCTAGATTAATATGGATTGACCATAGACTAATGATTTCTAGCTAGTCGTAGTACTTTCAATTGGCATACTCATTAGTTCTTAAGAGCGTTCGCAATGGTTGTTCAATATTGCAGTTTTACTTGCAATGATAAAATTCAATAGCTTCAGTTTATTGGCATGTGAGTCACATAATTAGCTTATTGCAATTTAATAGAAAATTCATCGTATAGCACCCTATATTGCAAATGAGATTTTACTGTTTTGGTTCAATTTATCATAATCAATGCTACTATTGTAATGCTAGGTTACGGACCATCAAATTATTTGTTCTAGAAGAGCTTATGTGTTGTTTGCTTTTGTTATTTATGATGTATGACTTAGACTTGTTAACAAATGTTTTCCAATACAATCATCAATCAAGGTCCAAAATCGAAGGAGCCTCTCACCTTTGTGATTATGACAAATATTCAACTAATATTTGCATTTTATTCCCTTGAATAAAAAGAAGGTACTTCTCACGTTGTTAGGTTTAGAAAAGTTATCTCGGCAATATAGAATGTTGATGGTTTGAAAATCAATTATGTGTGTATATATAATTGGAATTTTCTTTTTTAATGTTCCTTAATTTTGGAGTCTTTGCCACTAATTATACAAGACTGTTTCATGGTGTTTGTAGACTTTGTCACCACGCAAAGCCTTTGGGCCCCAAGTCTCTATGTTGATGAGCACTTTAGGGGTTCTTATGAAGTACGACCTATAATAATCGAAGCTCATTTCAAGAGTCTTGAAGGCCAGACAAGGCAAACACCAATATACACAATGTAATGGGATTGAGAATTGGGTGATGTTGAGCAATGTCTCCTGGTTCACCTTCCCAGTTGAAGTACAATGTCTCATTTTATGTATGTGTGATATAAAAATGGTGGCTACTCACTTTTCCATGAAGACCCTCGTCTTCTCGGGTCCATGTTCTTCTGCACCCATCCGACCAAACTTTTCATCGCCACGCGATAAGCCTCCATGGTGGCCACCTCCACCACATTTTTCACCTTATCATAATTTGACCCTAGCCTACATATGAAATCTTATGCAATGAAATGTGCCCCCTGGCTGTGAAAACAGTTCATTAGAAAACAAACATTTGTTTCTAGTTACAGTTTGAAGGATCTTTGTCAGGCACAGAGGCCCACAAACATTTGTGGGTAGTTTGAAGGATCTTTGTAGGGCATATAGGCCCACAAACATTTGGGGGGTAGTTTTTTGGGTTTTGGGCTGTTCGGCCCATAATGATTTGTAGATGTGTCACCTAAACTTACATCTCAATTTCAATTTGTCACTTTAAAGAAATTTTTTAAGAGAAATGTCATCTACATTTTTCAAAATCCATAATTTGTCATATGACTTTAATACTATCCAATTTTTCGTCAATTTTAAGGGTATTTTAGTCTTTCCATTTTCAAGGGTATTTTAGAAACGGAAAAATCATTATAAATTTTTTTTATACATGTTGAGAGAGAGAGAGAGAGAGAGGGAGGGGTCCTGTGCGACATGTTTTAGGGGCTTATGGGGTTGGGGTGGGGGAAGAAAGGGAGAGGTTTTTTTT